CACACTCTCTCCCTCCCACCCACCACACACTCTCCCTCCCACCCACCCACTACACACTCTCCCTCTCACCCACCACACACTCTCCCTCCCACCCACTACACACTCTCCCTCCCACCCACCACACACTCTCCCTCCCACCCACCACACACTCTCCCTTCCACCCACTACACACTCTCCCTCCCACCCACCACACACTCTCCCTCCCACCCACCACACTCTCCCTCCCACCCACTACACACTCTCCCTCCCACCACACTCTCTCCCACCCACCACACTCTCTCCCACCACACAGTCTCCCACCCACCACACACTCTTCCTCCCACCCACCACACACTCTCCCTCCCACCCACTACACACTCTCCCTCCCACCCACCACACACTCTTCCTCCCACCCACCACACACTCTCCCTCCTACCCACCACACACTCTCCCTCCCACCCACTACACACTCTCCCTCCCACCCACCACACAGTCTCCCTCCCACCCACCACACTCTCTCCCACCCACCACACTCTCTCCCACCCACCACACTATCTCCCACCCACCACACTCTCTCCCACCACACACGCTCCCTCCCACCCACCAATCACTCTCCCACCCACCACACACTCTACCTCCTACCCACCACACACTCTCCCTCCCACCCACCACACACTCTCCCTCCCAGCCACTACACACTCTCCCTCCCACCCACCACACAGTCTCCCTCCCACCCACCACACTCTCTCCCACCCACCACACTATCTCCCACCCACCACACTCTCTCCCACCACACACGCTCCCTCCCACCCACCAATCACTCTCCCACCCACCACACACTCTCCCTCCCACCCACCACACACTCTCCCACCCACCACACACTCTTCCTCCCACCCACTACACACGCTCCCACCCACGCACCACACACTCTTCTTCCCACCCACCACACAGTCTCCCACCCACCACACTCTCTCCCACCCACCACACTCTCTCCCACCTACCACACTCTCTCCCACCACACACGCTCCCTCCCACCCACCAATCACTCTCCCACCCACCACACACTCTCCCTTCCACCCACCACACACTCTCCCACCCACCACACACTCTTCCTCCCACCCACCACACAGTCTCTCTCCCACCCACCACACTCCCTCCCACCCACTACACTATCTCCCACCCACCACACTCTCTCCCTCCCACCACACACTTTCCCTCCCACCCACCATACACTTTCCCTCCCACCCACCACACACTCTTCCACCCACCCACCACACTTTCTCTCCATCCCACCCACCACAAATTCTCCATCCCACCCACCACAAAATCTGCATCCCATCCACCACGCACATTTTTCTCTTCAATGAGCATAAACCATCACGCAAACTCCGGTAATCCTCCCAGCAGCGGCGTTTGGATAACCACCAAACAAAGACGGGCACTGGCATCACGCGCTTGTGAATGCCTTCCCGCAGACGTCTGAGACGCTCTTCCCTCCGATATTAGGAAGCCACCGGAGCATTGCACCTTTAAATCATTATCTACATTGACAAACTAATTTCTTTAGAACTGATTTTAGTGCTTAGTTTGCGGCTATTCCCCCCGAACCTCAGATTATAATGGTGGGTTACATATGGTGCGAAAGAAGTTCAACATTCATACGTACACTGTCTCTCTCATCCCACACACTGACACCCACCCTACAAAGACAAAAATCCACGTGTAGCCTGTAACAGACTGTAGGGGCAAGTTCTGTTAGCGAGCAGCCTATGAAGGCCGGAACGGTACACGAACGAGGGGATGGGTGGCGAGCACCACACCCGATCGCCTTTGTCTCCCCAGTGGCGATATTTATACACCGCACCAGGTACTAATTTGAGGATAAGTCGACCTCCGGGAGGCCCAGGACTGGTTCAGATAATAGTCATTGGTGCTGGCCGTGAGCGGGAATTGAAAGCCAGGTTCGTAGCGCAGCGCGCTTCCGCTACACCACCAATCCCACCCACACACACCCCCCCCACACACACAACAACAACCGCCATTCGCCACTAAGTGGCGGTGACGTCACCACAACAATTGTGCCAGGCCATGTGCACCTTGAGGCCACGTGAAGTGTCGAACGCCCGCTGGCAGGAGGTCACGGGGCAGACCCAGGTGCCACGGATCGACTGACTGAGATGACCGAGATGACTGGCTGATGCACCACCTGTGCCCCCTACTGTGCCAACTTGCTGTGCTTTAGCCACCCAGCGCTCCGCTAGTTGTTATGAGCGTCGCTCCTCCGCCCTCCGTTGTTGCTGGTGGGCAACTGCCTCCAACTGCCCAGTAGCGTCCTTCACGAGCCTCCTCCACAGAGGCCGATCTTGACACCGCTGGTACCAGTCATCGGCAAGTCCACTCAGCTCCAGGTCCTCTTGTACCACATCACTCCATCTCTTCTCCAGCCCGTGCCGCACCCGTTTAGCCCCCTCGATCCTGCCGAACAAAAGCTGTTTCGGAATGCGGTGGCTGGGCATGCAGGCTACATTACCCAGCCAACACAGCCTTGCCTGCCGGAGGAGCTCACCGATGGAACTTTGCCCAGATCTTTCAAAGATTTGTGAGCTCCTCACACAATCCAGCCTGGTTAAACCCAGGATGGATCGTAGGGAGGCCAGCCTAAATGTTTCCAACCGGCGAAGATGCTCCATTAGGGGGGTCCACGTTTTGCAAGCGTAGAGAAGGGAGGGAATGACTATGGCCGAGAAGACTTGAAGCTTCGTGCGGAGCGACAGACCCGGTATCTTCCACACAGCGTTACGCAACTGATGAAAATATATTGCCGCTCGATTGATTTGGAGAGAGACCTCTGCTGTTAAACTGGAGCCGGTCATAAGCACACTGCCCAGGTATGGGAAACTCTCCACTCTCTCCACTACTGCCCCATCACCGATTGGGAGTTCTGGGGGTGGAGTGTCCGATGGTACAAAATTCCCAGGCAGGTGCTTAGTTTTGGTGGGGCTGATGGTAAGGCCCCACCTCTTAGTGGCACGCTCCATTCTCAGCAGCAGCATCTCCAATTCCTCCTCTGAATGAGCAGCTATTACCAAATCATCGGTATACATAACGTGGTTGACCAATAGGGAACCATCCCTTGATCGCACCCGGGCATCGATCAGCCTCCTATTTATCTGTACCAAATGGAGATTCCCCCGGTACAGCTATTGAAGGCTTTATGAACTACGTGGTGAAAATAGATGTTAAATAATGTGGGAGCCAGAGGACATCCCTGTCGCACCCCAAGGTGTACAGGGAAAGGCTCTTACTCCCGGCCACGTAGTTTAACCTGGGCCCGCTCACCATCATGAAGGTCCTTAATGATCGTGAGCAGAGGGTCGGGGTCTCCGAAAGCACGAAGAACAACCCAGAGCCCAGGCCTACTGATGGTATCATAAGCCTTGATCCAGGTCAATAAAGCAGAGATGTACTGTCTTGTTTAAATTCCCTACACCTCTGCTGTAGCAGACGGACAGAAAATATGGCATCTGTGCAGGACCGCCCTTTCCTGAAACCGCATTGGGACTCCGCAAGCCTCTCCTCAGCGTGCCTAGCAAGGCGATGTTGAATAATCCTTGCCAGGACCTTTCCAGGCACACTGAGGAGTGAGATGCCCCTGTAGTTGTTACAATCTCTGCGGTCTCCCTTATTAAAGAGGGGGACCACCAGGGCATCCTTCCAATCCTGTGGAACCCGTCCAGCGGTCCAGACTGTTGTTATGATGTCATATAGGGTAGTCTGTGCACAAACACCACCCTTCCTCAGCATTCGCTTGGGAGATCATCTCTGCCCCGTGCCTTTCCTGGTCTCAGACTCCGGATCGCCTTCAGTACTTCCTCAACAGATGGCACCTCTGCCAGCCACTCACAGGGGGTGACCTCTTCCAATATTTTAGGCACCGCAGCCTCAGCAGGGTTATCCCCACTTTGTGCCATGATGTTTTCCTGGCTGAGGGATTTCCCCTCCCCCAGGACCTCACAGAAATGCTCAGCAAATCTGCAAACCTGTTCCTGGGGGTCAAAGATTGGATCACCGTTTTTTCCCCTAATGATGGTAATAGGTGTGGCGCTGCAGGTTACTTTTTGATGGAGTTAAATAGTGATTTGTGATCGCGGGCCACTGAGGCAGACTCCATCTCCTCAGCAACCCTGCGACCACCACTCATCCTTGCAGCGCCTTACGGCTCTCCGAACCTCCGAGCGAAGGCTGCGGTAAGCCTCCTCATTCTCTGACGTGGGATGCTGTAGCCGATGAGAGTGGGCCTGTCGCTTTTTCTCAACTATCCTGAACACCTCTTCTGTCAGCCAGGGTCTCTGGGGAGGTCTGGACTGCGTACCCAAAGCAGCCATTGCAGCTGCATGAGTTACAGTCCTAAACCTCGCCCATTTACCCTCGACATCAGGAGTGGGTGACGATACCAACCCCAGCTGCAAGCGATGATGAAATTCTCGCTTGCAACTTTCATCTGCTAACTGAGACCAGGCCACTTTAGGTTGGAATGGAGTCCTGGGTGTACACCCACCACCGGAGTGGAAGAATGGCAGGCGCATCAGAGGGCAGATCAGCTCCATGGTAGGTCCTGGTGTCAAGGACATGGGCTCGCATCCGCTGGTCCGTCACGATGTAGTCCAGCAGATGTTGCTTGGATCCGGCATGCATCATGATGTTGTGTGGATGTGCCGATGCCGGAAGAGCGTGTTGGTAATTACAAGCCCTTGGGCTGCACCAAAATCTAGCAGCCTCCTACCATTACACCCACATACCCACACCTACATACCCACACCTACATACCCACACCTACACACACACACGCCCACACCTACACACACACCTACACACACACACACCCACACCTACACACACCTACACACACACCCACACCTACCCACACCCACACACACCCACACCTACACCCACACCTACACATACCCACACACACACGCCTACACACCCACACACACACACCTACACACACCCACACACACCCTACTCACTCCCCCCCTCCTACCCCACCCATATTTCCTCCCATGCCCTCTTTCTCTCTGCTTCTCCCTCCCTCCTCCCCCATCTGACTCCTCTCTCTGCCCCACGCTCTGCTTCGCCCAGTCCAGCCAGTGAGGCGCTGTGCGAGTCGGTAAGGCGAGTGTCAGGTGTGTGAGTGAGTGACCAGGTGAGTTCAGTGGGCTGTGCGAGTATAGGTTGTTGAATAGGTGGTTCAGGTGGTTGAATAGCTGAGTGAGTAGGTGAGCGCGTGAGTGAGTCTCCTTTCCCGAGAAGCACTCTGCTGGTGAAGAAGTGGAAGCCGCGCAGCAACATCAGCAGCAGGAGCAGCAGCAGGAGGAGGAGCAGCAGCAGGAGCAGCAGCAGCAGGAGGAGGTACTCGCTGCTTGCCCGTCTTTGGCACTGCGCTATGCCGTACGGCACTCCGTCAAGTTCAGTTTCTTGAAGCCCTATAGACTATTTAAACTAAACTATGTGCACCTATTACAAATGCTAGGTTCAACAAAGTAGCAGCCGCCAAATGCCCTAAACTCGTGATGTTGATTTTAAATGAGGGAAATCCCGAATGACCTGGGGAGAGAGAGTGAGATGTATATACTGTGCACCGCAAACTCCAAACATACAACAAGCGTCAGGGTCGGGATCGAATCCACAACCTCCTGTACACCCGGCGAGCCAGTTAACATCTAACAGCCACTCTACTTGAACAGAGGGCAAGGGGGTCGGTAGCACGGGCGGCTGGAAGAACGGATATCCAGACCTATAATCATTACTATCGTTTATTCCCTACGAATGAATATATTACAACTGCGGTCTCCCACGTACCACTTGTTAGGATCTAGCTCCTAATCTCCATGGTCTCACATTCGTAAGAGCAGGCGAAATTATCGGGTGGAACGGAACATCGCTGCGATAAGTTGTAGTGGTCAGTGCGAACCAAGCTGGCAGTTCGATTCCCGCCCGCGGCCACCACCGGTGATATCGATTATCTAAACCGGTGCTGGGCATCCACTAGGTCGACTCAGCCTCAAGTGAGTACCTGATGCGATGAGTAAACGTCACCACTTTGGGAGAAAAAGGCGGCCGGGCGTGGTGCTGGCTACCCCCAGCAATCCGTGTGCTCCAGCGCCAGTCTTTATCGGTGCTGCTTCTCGCTACTAATAACACTTGCCCCAGCAGCATGTTAAGGCTACACAGAGAATCGCTGTCCCTGTCTCTTGCTTGCTCCACCTTACATCAGACAGTTCACGTCGTCGTTTATTGTTATTTTTGTTATTTTCTTTGAACCTATCTACGTGACTTTACCGACAGACCCAAAGAATATCAGACAGCTCATACAGCAGAGCGAGCAAAGACGAGAAATCACTTAACGACACCCACCAAAAGCTGGTGAAAGAACAGAGATTGCCCTACAATGATTAGGATTTTCTTTGGAGCCATTTTTATATCATGGACGAAAAGAGCAGATTTCCACTCTAGTGAAATGTGCCTTCGGTGAGTGAGAGGTTGAAAATGACTTTGAGGGATTTATAGATGCGATCTGGTGCAGGGTGTAATTGAATGTGTGTGTGTGTGGTGCAGGGTGTAATGGAGTGTGTGTGTGTGGTGCAGGGTGCAATGGAGTATGTGTGTGTGTGGGGCAGGGTGTAATGTAGACTGTGTGTGTGGTGCAGGGTGTAATGGAGTGTGTGTGGTGCAGGGTGTAATGTAGACTGTGTGTGTGTGGTGCAGGGTGTAATGTAGACTGTGTGTGTGTGTGGTGCAGGGTGTAATGTAGACTGTGTGTGTGTGTGGTGCAGGGTGTAATGGAGTGTGTGTGTGTGGTGCAGGGTGCAATGGAGTATGTGTGTGTGTGGTGCAGGGTGCAATGTAGACTGTGTGTGTGTGGTGCAGGGTGTAATGTAGACTGTGTGTGTGTGTGTGGTGCAGGGTGCAATGGAGTCGATGCGGAGGCAACTGCTGCAGGAGGTGTGCCCAGGCCCAGCAGGGAGGCCGCGCTCCAAGGTGACCGTGGTGGGGGTGGGCCAGGTGGGCATGGCGAGCGCCGTCAGCATCCTGCTGCAGGTGACCGCTCGCACGTAAACGCACAAGCACGTGAACACACACGTGTGTGTGTGAGGTTGTGGGGTATTTCGGTTAGCACGCTGCACTACGAACCTGGCTCGCCTGAGTTCGATTACCGCTCACGGCCAAGACCAGGGACGATTATATAATTATCTCGACCTGTCCTGGGCCTCCCCTCGGTCGACTCAGCCTCAAATGAGTACCTGGTGCGGTGTTAAAAAAACATTGTCACTTGGGGAGACAAAGGCGGCTGGGTGTGGTGCTGTGGCCACCCATCCCCTCGTGTGCCGTTCCAGCCTTCATAGTTGCTCGCTAACAGCACTTGCCCCAACAGTCTGTTCAGGCTATACGGGGGATTGTTGTCTTTGTGTGTGACCGCGCCTTCGCCCAGACACGCACAGACGCCTTTCGACGTTATTCATACTTGAGGAGTCGTTTTTTTGTTATTTTATTGAACCGATCTACGTGACTTCACTGAAAGAATACACTTGAGGATTTGTTTTTGGGGTGAGATGGCGTAAATGTAAAATGTGTCGTTAAACTCTGCCACCACCACTGCCCGACACAGCCAATCAGTGAAGTCTGGTCACTTAAACTAAAACGTGCCGATTACTTTACTAGTTCAGCACTAAGCGCTTGTGTGTTTGAAGAATAAATGCACCTTTTTTACTGGCAGATAAAGGTCCCATGATATAGCTGCTCATATATGAATAAGTATAACCCGTAAAAACAAAGTTTTTCACTATAAATCCTTTATATGCGTGGCAGCGAACTTAATATAAAGGATTTAAAAATATATTCGCCTGTGGAGGACGCGGGGATCGATCCCGCGACCTTTGGCATGGGAAGCGAGGGCGCTACCAACTGCGCTACTCCGCCACGGCCTGTTGAGGGGTTACGCTCTGGGCTCTTATACTGTGACGTTCAGCCAAAGCGATGAATGAGTTCTATTTGAATATATGTAAAATAAATTTTTTTTGCCTAAAAAGTGTAAAATTTGGGGAATTTTTTTTCACGAACATTAATTGTCTGGCACAACGAGTCTGTGTGGAAAATGTCAGCTCGATTGGATCACGGGAAGTGGGTTAAAAAACGACCGAAAGATTTGCACGGTCGTAAGCAAGCAGCAAGCACGCAAGCACGCAAGCAAGCAAGCACGCAAGCAAGCAAGCATGCGAACTTAATATAAAGGATTTAAAAATAAGAATAGGGTGTTACCCTTTCTGGCGATTAAACAGGAGGTGTTAAGATGTCCAAACACCAAATAGACACGTTTTGCAAGACATCAAGTTTGCATTAACCACACATCAGAATCAAAATATCTTTATACTGGAGGAATCGGATGAGCTATGAAGCTAATCTTTTCATAGATATAACTCCTCGATCCGAGCTATGAGTGTCTGATACTTGCATTTTAGTTTTACTGTTTGCCTGGTAGTGAGACAAAGCCGTAAAGAAGGCTCCCTCTGGTGGAGGCCAATCCGTTTCAGACGATGTATACATTATTATATGCTCTGATAATTTTCAGATCATGTTTGTTTCCATGTTCACCATAAGTAGGTGTGGTTAATGCAGACTTGATCCCTTGCCAAAGATATATATTTGGTGTTTGAACATCTTAACAAAACTCCTGTTTTTATCGCCAGAATGGGTAAAAATCTATTATTTTTATACCAAATCCACAACATTTAAAATTTGATTTCCGTGACGTTTTCACTGCTAATTACATCCAACATCATCGGGGCGATTTTGCCAAAATTCTAAAAGCCTTTAAAACTGCCTTTCAACGTGACGAACCAAAAGAATATGGCTTTACCACCTTCTCGCAATAATACAGGAGGTTTAAAAATGTTCAAACACAAATAGACACATTGCAAGACATCACGCTTGTGGTTAAACATGCAAACAAACATGCTTCGATAATAATGTAGGCATTGTCTTTGAAACTGATTGGTCTACACCAGAGCTGCAGCCTCATTTATGCCCTTGTCTCACCACCGGTGTTAGACCAGAGAAGAAACGCCAAAATGCGATCAGCAGCACAAAAGGCGATGCAAATGTCATGGCCATCACTCGCTTGAATAAAAACAGTTTTGCCAACATTTTCATACACCGGCAACAACAAAAAAATATTTCATAGCCGGAGCCTTCCAATTTAAATTTAATAATCGATTATCCAGCACCGCGCAATTATTATCCGGTTGGTTCCAACATTATCCGATGTTCCCGGGGCCGATCCGGCGAAACCGGCAAAAATCGCTCCAAAGGCTGTAACCAGCCCGGCGATCGGCACCGTGTGCGTGACAAAGTAGCTACGCTTGATTTCAGTGTTAAATATGATATACAGTACCTTATACACTGCATACAACTTAAACAATGCAAATAATGCACATATATGCATCTTCCCATGCAGAGTCTTCCAGATTGGAGTGCTAAGCACAGTGAAACAGTAACTTTTTACAAAAGGATATTTATTTTTGTCTATTTGTATGGTTATTTATGCCAATTTCACAGAGTAAAACAGCATTTAAAACAATTAAAAACATACACAACACCTACTAATATAACGTCATACAAAGAAGGTGCAAAAATAAACGATTTTAAACAATGATTAGTAGTGATTATTCGGCATTTTCCATAATCCAGAGCCGCCGGATAATCGATGATCTCCTGTAATCACGAGAGAGAGACTGACAGCTGTCGTGATGTTCCCACAAGGCATCCATCACCAGCACCAATCTTCAGCCCTGGTCTGAACCACCAGCTATCATCGTTGTCCCTGCTAGTGACGTGACTCCTGCCAAGGCCCTCTCATTGTTTTCTTATGAACAGTTTAGTTTCGTATCTATTGTCTTTGTGCGTATTGAGACAGCGGTTGCTATGGGGAGAGGTGGCGCAGCGGTTAGCACTTTGCGCTACGAACCCTAGCGGGAATCAACCCGAGTTTGATTCCTGCTCACGACCACCGACACTGACTATTTTCTGAACCCTTCCCGGGCATCCTTTAGATCGACTCAGACTTAAATGAGCACTTGTTACAGGTGTGTAGTAAAGAACGCCACTGGGGAGGCAAAGGGGGCCAGGCGTGGTGCTGGCCACTCACCCCCGTCGTGTGCCACAGGTGCCGGCATTTATAGGCGTTGCAATTCGCTACCAGCACTTGTCACGACAGTCTGTGAAAGCGACACGGGGGATCTTTGTCTTTGTGAGTTCATGTGAGTGCTTGTGTGTCTGTGTGTGTCTGTGTCTGTGCGTGGGGAGCGGTAGTGTTGCGGTTAGCGCGCTGCACTACAAACCCAGTGACCCGGGTTCGATTCCCACTCATGGCCAACACCGGTGACGATTATCTGAACCGGTCTTTGGCCTCTCCGAGGTCGACTCAGCCTCAAATGAGTACCTGGTGCAGTGTGTAGTGAACATCGCCACTCAGGGAGACAAAGGCGGCCAGGCGTGGTGCTGGCCCCCCACCCCCTCGTGTGCCACAGGTGCTGTCACTCATGGACGTTGCCCTGCACAGTTTTATTGGTCTCTACGTGTACATGGAATCTCACTCAGAACAACGCAGACGAGGTCGCCCTCGTGGACGTGATGGAAGACAAGCTGCGTGGGGAAGCCATGGACCTGCAGCACGGCTCACTGTTCCTCAAGACAGCCAAGATTGTGGCCGACACCGGTACGACACGAAATAGACAGCAGCCAAAATAGTATCGACAATTCTGCAACACTGCTCCGGGAATAACTTCGGTATACATCATTTAGAAGCCGACCGAAATTAGGTTTTGGTGCCGAAAGATGGCAAATGGCCACTTTCGGCATACTTTCGGTTTCGGCCGAAAGTCAATTGTTTTACTTTCGGTCTGGTTTAGGTTTCGGCCGAAACTGATATTGACTTTCGGTCGTCAACCGAAGATCTATTTTTAGAATATAACGCTAGTGCAAAGTCTATCAGCCGGTCAGTCGGCGCTAGACAATCCTATGCGATAGGCTGCATACACACACACGTCAGCAGCAGCTTGCGAGCGAGGCAACCATGGTCTGGGGCCGTCAATAAATTATGTCACGTACCTAGAGAGGGGGGGGGGCAGCGACTGCGTAGCGATTCGCGCGCTGCGCTACGAACCCGGCGGCCCGAGTTCGATTCCCGCTCACGGTCGGTGACGATTATTTGAACCGGTGCTGGGCCTCCCCTAGGTAGACTCAGCCTCAAACGAGTAAGTGGTGTGGTGTATCAACATCGCCACTGGGGAGACAAAGGCGGCCGGCCATGGTGAACCCAAGTCCCAGGCGAAGCCGGGTAGTAAAGCTAGTATTTCATAAATCTTGTGTTCGGTAACTTCGGTTATATACCTTTCTGTTTCGGTCTTGGTAAAAAGTGTAGTTAAACTTTCGGTTTCGGCTTCGGTTTCGGCCGAAAGTTATTTTTTTACTTTTGGACTGGTTTCGGTTTTGGCCGAAATCAGAAATTCAGTTTTGGTCGGCCTCTAACATCATTCACCCTGATAATTGTTTTTTTACCCTTTTATCTGTCAACAAAACTGACACCTTTTTTTACAAGGAGTCATGTTTGCATTGACCACAATACCTGCGGTCGGAATGCAAACAAAAAACACAACTCTGATAATGTATGCACTGTCCTTGAAATTGATTGGTCCACACACGAGACAGCTTTTCTTAGAGCCAAATCTCACATAAAAAAGGTGTCAGTTTTGTTGCCAGATAAAAGGGTAAAAAAACAATTATCATATTTTTCTACTGGCAAAGGAGGTTCCATTGGTATCATTCACTCTATGAACTAACACTTTCAATAATGTTTTTATGTTACCAGGTCAGGCCCATTAATAAATGTAGCTCTTTTTCAGAAGTGACCTGGCCATCACAAATTATAGCCCAACGTAGTGGCTTATCATTGTCGTGTAAAAATGTCTAGTAGCAGCCAAATACCCTAAATTCCTGATGTTGATTATAAATGTGGAGGGGAAAACTGGAGGATCCGTATAAAAATCCATACGATCACAGGGAGAGGGATACGCAAATTCAAAATTTACAGCAGGCACCAGGGTCTGGATCGAACCCAAGACCTTCTGTATACTAGGTGAGACAGTCAACATTTCCTAGCCACCGCAGCGCCCAACTGTGTTTTTTTTTTAAATAAACCTGTTCACAGTATTACAAGGATATAGGGTAAAATAAAATCGGTTTATGATGCATAGACACAACCTTGTAGTCTAGTGGTAGTGCCTTTGACTGATAATCCCTATTACAACCCAGCCTAGTAGCGTACTGGACAATCTCTGGTGATAAATTAAGCCATGATTATCATCGTCATCATCAGGCAGTATTATTTAGCTCACATTTTATCTGTGGGCAGAAGTTCTGAATTTGCAAATCAAATGCAATTGGAAACAGAAATCTAATGTAATTTTTTTGTGGAGGCAACTCAATACCCACATGACCGCAATCATGTTCACCACCATTGTGCGAAGGTGAAATATAAATATATACTGAAAATGTGTTATTGCCTAATTTATCCATGGTTTTGTTTTTAATCAGAGCTGTCAACCTATCCCTGATCACTCTGGATAATCGAGAGATGTTGTCTCCCTCGCCTGGTATGCAGGGGGTCGGGGGTCCGATCCCGACCCTGACACTGCCTGCTGTATATTTTGAGTTTGCGTGTCTCTCTCTCTACCCGTGGTCGCGTGTACTTTTTTCTCTGGTTCCTCCAGTTTCCCCTTCCACATTTAGAAACATGCATTGAGATTATTTAGATTATGCTGGTACTATAAATTTCCACGTGATGGTAAGCAACTTTGTTGAGCTATCATATGTGGCCATGTCGCTTCGGAAAAATAAGTGCACACCTCAGTTGGCCTTACCTGGTAAGATAAAAAAAGTTTAGTTTAATTGGTATTTTTAAAGTGATTTGCTTACCTTTTCTATACTTTGCTACTGCTATCGTGGTTTTGTATTGTTTGTTGTTGTAAGGTTCTGACCCACCCCTACTGGACATCTGTGAAAAAGAGCTTTATAGCTCATCGGATTCCTCCAGTATGAATACATATTTGGATTCTGACTGTACCTATAAATGCATACATAGCATGTCTAGCAGGTACAGTCTCGGAACCCTAGAACCACGACTGCTTAGACACATAATTACACGTAAAATAAGTGGCTACTGATGCTTCTAGAGGCAGTGTGGTACACCAATGTGATTGGCTACTGATGTCTCTACAGGCAGTGTGTGGTACACGAGTGTGATTGGCTACTGATGTCCTTACAGACAGTGTGGCACTCCAATGTGATTGGCTGCTGATTTCTCAACAGGCAGTGTGGTACACATCAGTAGCTAATCACACTCGTACAGGCAGTGTGGTACACGAGTGTGATTGGCTACTGATGTCTCTACAGACAGTGTGGCACTCCAATGTGATTGGCTACTGATGTCTCAACAAGCAGTGTGGTACACCAATTGTGATTGGTTACTAATTGTCTCAATAGCAAGTGGTAACAGACCAATATTATCGGTTGACTGATGCCTCTATTGGAAGAGACAACTGCTGGGATTTCCAATCCAGGATCTCAGCAATGTCAGCCCAGATGATCAGACGCCTCTGAGCCACCCAGCCACCTCTGCTGTATTGGAACATGAACACCGCATGAAAAATAAGAATAGGTATTACCCTTTTTGGCAATAAAACGGGAGTTGTGATAATATGTTCCAGCACTAAATAGATACATTTTACAATGAATAAAGTCTGCATTAACCACACGTACTGTGGTGAACATGCAAACAAACATGCTCTCATAATAATATATGCATTGTCTTTGAAATTGATTAGCCTACACCAGAGACAACCTTCTTTATGGCCTTGTCTCACCACCTGCGTCAAACCAGTCAATGCCAAAGTCGAACAGTACAAATAAAATGCATGTATCAGAGCATTTATAGCTCGGGTTGAGCAGTTCTATCTTTGGGATACCTTTTTGCCAGTTTCAAAAGTATGGAAAATGAGAACAGATTTTTAACCCTTCCCTGGCACCGGCACGTGCACATGTCAACGACTCTGTGCTCGTAGACTACGCGGTGACAGCCGGCTCCAAGCTCTGCGTGGTGACGGCCGGCGTGCGACAGAAGGAGGGGGAGAGTCGCCTTGCCCTGGTGGAGAGAAACGTCACCATCTTCCGGAAGATTATCCCCAACTTGGCCAAGTACAGCCCTGACGCTGTGCTCCTCATCGTGTCAAACCCAGGTCTGATCGGCACCGTAGATTCTCACTCCCAAATGCGAGAGTCGTCTTCATTGTAATCATCAACAACTCATCAATCGATCGATCGGTCGATGTTTCATTTCAAAATAGTGTTATAAACACAATGTTACACCATGTAAGCTTTCACGACCATTTTTTTTCATAGTAAAACTTACTTTTTTGGGTTTGATCACATAAATATAAATTCCAGCACAATTTGCCAGATGAGGCTGAGTTGTAATTACCGGCGACACGTCATGATACTCTGATTTTAAATGTTTTAGTGGGTTTACTCTCCAACATACCAACGGTTATTGCTTGACTAGTAACTAATTGGCACTTTTTATTCACGTGACAAACCTTACTGATTGGCTGTGTCAGGTGGTGGTGGCAGGTTTAACGAAGCATATATTTACACGGTCTAACCTTTGTGAATGTTGGTCTTGGCGTGCAGTGGACATTCTGACGTTCGTTGCTTGGAAGTTGAGCGGATTCCCCGTGCATCGCGTCATCGGCAGCGGCACCAACCTGGACTCAGCGCGTCTGCGATTCCTCATGGGCGAGAGGCTGGGAATCAGCCCTTCCAGCATTCACGGATATATCATCGGGGAGCACGGGGACTCCAGCGGTAGTAATCAACGTCGCACCATCGGCTAATCGCCTGTCACGGCGGGGGGGGGGGGGGGATGCTTTCTGCTTGGTCACTTGGCCAAATAACTAAGGCTGACGTCCACAAAAGGTTCCAGTCAGACTGGAACTTAGACTTGGTCGGATTGTCGGCTGATTGCATCTCTGACTCTTCTCTCTCTCCAGCCGCTCGCAGGCATTCACAGTCACGTCGAAGTCCATTTCACGACCAGAATTGAGTGTTTAACAAGCATGACCGGGTTTGTATGCCTCCCTCCATTGGGGCGCCACGGTCGCTAGGATATGTTAACTACCTCCCCTGGTATACAGGAGGAGCCTGGGTTCGATCCTGACCATGATGCTTGCTGTATATTTGGATATTGCCTGTCTCTCTCCCCATGGTCGCGTGGATTTTTCTCCAGGTTCTCCAGTTTTTCCCTCCACATTTAGACTCAACATCAATCGTTCAGTGTTTGGCTGCTATACTATTTCCACCTGATGACTAACCACTTCATTGGGCTATCATTTGTGATGGCCAGGTCACTTCTATAAAAGAGCTACATAGCTTAACTGGTGAAACATACAACAATTGTTTAGTTTAGACAGTTTAACATGTAGGCCTTCAAGATCTATATTCTCCATAATAGAGGTTTTTGGATTTGATCACGTTAATATAAATGTATCGTTAAACCCGAAACCACCCCACAGAGCCAATCGGTAAGGTTTGTCATATCAACAAAATGTAGCAATTTGTTACTAGTTCAGCATTAACCAGTGTGTTGGAGAGTAAAGCCACAAACGCATTTACAATTTGTGTACCGTGAAGTTTCGCCGGCTTTTTCAACTCAGCATCATCAGACGATAGCCAGAATTGTGGAAAAATCCTCCTCCTGTTTTAGTCTCAAATAAAGGTGGGGGTAAATGTGATGTCGTCAAATGTGAGACAATAAAAAAACTATTTTTTTTATTTTACCAGGTAAGGCCTACTTGAGCTTTGTAGCTTTTTTTCAGAAGCGACCTGGCTATGCCAAATTATAGCTCAACGAAGTGGCTTGTCACGTGGACATTTATTGCAGCAGACAAATACGCTTCACGCGTGATGTTGATTCTAAATGTGGAGAGAAATACCAGATGATCCGGAGACAAAATCCACACGACTACAGGGAGAGAGGCATGCAAACTCCAAATATACAGCAGGCGTCAGGGTTAGAATCAGACCCACTACCTCCTGTATACCAGGCGAGGTAGTTAACAACTCTCCATCGTGGCGTCCTACAGGTGTGAATACCAGAGGGGGCGCGGGGGGGCATTAATGTATTCCTATAAATAAATATATTATATAAATTAAACTATTATGGGGTTTAGAGTTTGCTATGCCCATGCACTCTCTCCTGCATCCCCTCCCCCAGTGGCAGTGTGGAGCGCAGCCAATGTGGCCGGAGTGAAGCTGCAGCAGGCGTTGGAGGCAGAGCAGCGCGGAGCGGAGGGGGGGGTCTGGACAAGCATTCACAAAGAGGTCATCGACAGGTGTGTGCAGGCATTACAATGGAGCACCAAGGTGGCTATGATATGATAACTACCTCGCTTCGTGCACAGGAGGTCATGGAGTTCGATCCCGACCCTGACATCTACTGTATATTTGGAGTCTGCGTCTCTCTCCCTGTGGTCGTGTGGATTTTTCTCCGGATCTTCTGGTTTTCCCCTCACATTTAGAATCATCTTCACGCATTTAGAATATTGATAAGCCACTTTGCTGAGCTAATAGCCAGGTTGCTTCTGAAAAAAAGATACGTAGCTCAGTGGATCCTTACCTGGTGAAATAAAACATAGTTAAATAATGGCAATGTCTTTCGTCAGTCAGAATCAGAATCTTTAGTTTATACTGCAGGAGGAGGAAACCAATGCAATCCATGATGTTCTTTTCTCAAATATAGTCAAGAGTGCCCATGGGGGTCAGAAAATTACAACAACAAACACAAAAACCGACAGTAGTGCAGAGTATAGAAAAGACAAGAGCATAAGTCCAGTAGACTCTTTATTATCCATGTACTTTTTTCTGATTTGTGGATTAACGGCGCACCCGATATTTTCACGTAAATTAATAACTCAGGGGATTTTTCCCTGAAGCCCAATTTAATAATCTAAAAACATATGCACATTGTTATTCTTGGAAATATGTATTACAAGTCACGTGCTTAAACGGAAAAAATATGTTGCTCTGATTAATCTGAAATCCATGTGATCGTCCCTACAGTACAGTAGTTGCACATCTTCACAACAGTGGGTGGAGTTTGATTGATCTTGATTGGCGTGGCTCTGCTGTCCAATTAGTGGGCCGAGTCTTTTGCTGGGCGGGAGCAGAAAAGTATTATCACTGAACACTCACATCATCAATCTGTTGATCGTTAGTATTTGTTCATTAACAAAGTAAATTGTATTAACTTAAACATTAGTTATACCTATGGTAATGATTTTTTGCATAGAGATCCACAGAAAATAGATTTTTTTTGGATTATCCTGCAATTTTTGAATTATCAGCGGCCGTCCTCCCTATCATTAGCGCGGGTAATCAAGAGTCTCCTGTATATATATCTTTTAATTCTCAGAAGTGGAGTTGAACCCGTATTTTTATACCCTGCATTTCTTGATGTAGTCATTTTTTAAGTTTGTAGTCATTTTTGTTTGCACCACACGTTCATAAGTAGACTACGTGAGGTTGAAGTTTAAGAAGAGTCTGTGCATTTTGTGTTGCAGTGCTTATGAAGTTATTCGTCTCAAGGGGTACACGTCCTGGGCTATCGGCCTGAGCGTGGCAAGCCTGACCCAATGCATTCTCAAAAATCTCCGCACCGTCAACCCTGTCTCCACACTGGTGCAGGTGTGTTGCTTCACGTTTGATCATCATCATCATCATCATCACGACCTTCAGTCCTTCGTCAATCCACTACTTTATGATGGTTTTCAAGTGCTTTTGGTCATGGGAGTTAACCATACTTCAACCATGCAACTAATGTTGGTGACCCTAGCCGGGAATCGAACTAGGGTCGTCAGGTTCACGCTCTGGTTGTGAAAATCTTTTATATTTGTGTTATATTACTAACCAGTAGACGTAACACGTTCACGTCTTCAAGTGAGTAGTTGAAGACTGGTAATGCTGTGTTGGTGGAGGATTCTCAAAACTGGACCCACCACCTGTTTACCCAGAAGGATGAGGTTGGTGCTACAGTCTATGGCAACAGTCTATAGCAGGCATGTCCAAAGTCGGGCCCGCGGGACAATCACGGCCCGCGGTCAGATTTTATACGGTCCGCAGCTTCGGTCTTATAATGTGTTATTTATGGCTCGCTAGCTCTGTCAGAATAAATAACTCATAAAACTTTAAAGATGTGATTCCTCCTTTGACAACACGGTGGCAGCACCATTCTAATGCTATCTGGCTGCATCCGGGCCGCGAACCCTTCTCGAGTCATTTCCGCCATGGCGACTGCAAAAAAAAAGGGAAAAGTTGACAGTGAGGGCCGCCGCTTTCAGGAGCGGTGGGAATTACAATACTTCTTCACTGAAAATCGAGGCAATTGTGTTTGTCTAATTTGTAACGAGACTGTTGCCTTGTTTAAGGATTTCAACGTAAAGAGACACTACGAGACTAAACATGCTACAACATACAACAAGCTAACAGGGAGTGACCGCGCTGAAAAAGTGAAGCAACTCCAAGCTGCTCTGACATCGCAACAGCGATTCTTCACGTGGGCCTGTGAGTCAAAGGAAAACATCACCAAAGCCAGCTATGAAGTGGCCATGTTAATAGCTAAACATGGCAAACCTTTTACTGAAGGCGCGTTATCAAAGACTGTGTCATGAAAATGGTGGATAACATTTGCCCCGAGAAGAAGCAAGAATTTATGAATGTTTGCCTGGCACGCAACACTGTGGCACGGAGAGTTGAGGACATATCGTCAGATATTCAGAGACAACTGGGGCACAGGGGAGTGGCTTTTGATTATTTCTCATTAGCCTGCGATGAAAGCACCGATGCATCTGACACTGCACAACTACTTATTTTTTTAAGAGGAGTTGATGACAACATGAACGTGACAGAGGAGCTGCTTGACCTCAAAAGCCTTAAAGGGCAAACCAGAAGAACAGATTTATTCGTTTCTGTTTGTGAAGCTGTTGATGATATGAAACTACCATGGACCATATAGCGATTGATCAGTCTCCATTCTCTAAGTGAACATTTCGCTCGTTTAGGGAACAAATGTGTCCAAATTCAAATAGCTTGCTACAGCGAAACGGAATAACACTCGTTTAATGAGACATAGCCTCTATATTGATTGCAGTGGGCGTACCCACACTTCCATCTCACCACATGCATCCTGTCCGATCGTAGACTGTCGCTATAGACCAGGGGTGTCCAAACTTTTGCAAAGAGGGCCAAATTAGATAAAGTGAAGATGCCCGGGGGCCAATAGTTCCGTCTGACATTTTTTTCACCACAAAAGTTACGTGAAAATACACACTTCTTGGTTCTTTCGGTAAAGTCACGTAGAAGGGAAGTAATAAAATAATAAAAATAAACATAATAAATAAAATAATTCGCACGACGTTTCAGCTACAACACAAGCAGCCGTCTTCAGGTGAAGAATGAGACACTGCCAATCTAGGAGCTTATATATAAGCTGGGTTGGAGGTGGAAGAAGAGCGCCTTAACAAAAAGAATGTGCATATCAAGAGGAATTTAGCATATTCATGGGAAATGCGTAGGAGGTGGGGGGGGGGGGTTCAAAGTCATATTATGCCCATGCATTATGCAGGATCAGCAGCACCAAGGGAGGATGCAAGGAGTAGCATTAACAAAGGAAAGGAATGTTAATCGTATGTAGCTGCAGTTACTAAACAACCACGTAGAAAACTAAAGTATAAACTACATAAAAAACTAAAGTTTAAACTGCATAGCATCATCAGTATACTTACTATAATCTACAATAAGCTGAGTTACTAACAGCAAGTAATACATTACAATTCTACGTCGTAAAAATGATATAATATGCTTCCATCTAAACTTTATTCTCTTACATCACACGAGCATACACCGTACTATATACTGCCATAGATAAACCCAACATTAAATTATATACTGTATTGCTATAAACTACCCTATACCTTATACATTTTAATATAACACTATGTATTATTCTACCCACCCTAATGTGTATCACACTGCTATATGTTTACTATAGCAATACTGTATATAATTTAATGTTGGATAGAACCCAGGATATTTATATTTACCAGGCGAGGTAATTAACATCTCCTAGCCACCGCAGTAGACGCTGGTGCATGAATAGCATACTCGTCGTGTGACGCTTTGTTCTATGGTTTGGACTTCGCCAAAGTCGCAGTTTCACCGATTCTTTGATGAACTTCCATTTGTGGAAAGGGTGCACGCACACCTCCCACGTATTTCCTTTGTGATCGAAGTTTAGCGAGCGCCATACTGTGTGGTCCTTCGGTTTTACAATGCCATCGATTAACGGTTTTTCGATTAACAATCCGCATCCCATAGGGTCCCCCATTGTTTCTATTAATGATACATTTTCAATTAACGATATTTTTATGATATCAAACGGATCCGCAAATTTCGGCAAATGGGAGCGCTTCTAGACCTCAGCCAATCAGTAACGTGCCCTTTTATGAGCCTTTTGAAAGCAACTGGCTTGCTTAAGCCATCGATATTCTTAGCCTCAGGTAAGAATTTATATTTTATATTCTATTTATGCACCTTTTTACAGTCTATTTATTCCTTATTGATCCAGTTTTTTTAAACTAATATTAATGCTTTAATATGCTCTTATAACGGTTATTTCTTTTAAAAAAATGATTGTGTTTAAATATTACAAACTATTAGCGGGAAGTACCCGGCGTTGCCCGGGTCAAATTTATATTTCAAACCTACTCTTAAAAATCTAACAGCAGTGCATGCTGACTGTGATGGTACCTGCTATGATTACAGCAGTGTATACCGACTCTGGTGGTACTTGCTATCACTACAGTAGTACATGCAGATTCTATAGCAGTATTGATCGATTGTATAGCACAAAATACTCACCTGACAGAGTGGCATGGTGAGGCCTAGTCCCATGCAGAGCCTCCGGCCGACGCCTAAATTGTCTTGCCGGCCGAAGTGGCACCTTGGCAGGCTGGGGCTGGTCTTCTACCCCTGACCCCTCCACCAGTAACGATCTCCCAGGCCGCTCTGCAGTAATATCTACGGCCTATAGTGGTAGCATCTAGCGATTGTGTAGTAGTAATAACTGCACGCATCGGGGTGGGGGGACATCACACAGTGAAGAATAAACGTCAGCGTTTAGTGTATTTTTATAGCATTTTTAACGCGAAAGAAAATGTCCCCCTCACTCCCACCGAAGGCGTGCGACTTGGCATGGGCTGCCCCCCCCCACCAAAGGTGCGTGAGTTGGTATGGTCGTGCTCGCGTCATAAATAAATAAATAAAGGACACCACACAAAAATCGCACTAAATCGCTAATTAAACTAATTAAAAGTTGACAGATATGAAAAAGGAATAGCGCTTGCTCACCGCGGGGCTTACAGCGTGGTACCTGACTATTTTTTCATGTAAACCCCACCGTTGGAGAGCCAAGCGCACGACCACACACAAACCCACACAAACCCGCCACAAACCCACACACAAATTATGACTTTTATATATATATAAATGTTTTAGGGAGAAAAAGACCAACTTCCAATCATCTTGGAATAAATTAAGCCCCTTTTAAACATGCATTTCCTATATACGATTAGTGATCATTTAGATTGACTATGGTTTTTGTGGAACCAATTAATATCGTTAACCGAGGGGCCACTGTAATATAACACTTCCACACAAAAGCTACTAAGCCATTGCATAGTATGCATAAATTATCAACGGTTCCTGAAGCACTACACTGCGGCCGTCTTGTGTTCGGTCACCGAACAATACAATTTTAACAAACGCGATCGACCAATGGCAGAAACAGCCACAGAGAAACAGACCACTCTAGACCGTTTAATTCCAATCAATACATTCATGTGTTTTATCTGTTTCAGCGAGCTCGTTAAAATAACAAGTATCTGGTGGCTTCAGGGTGAAGGGGGCACCGAATTTTCAAAAACCCTGGATAATCACAATAATCATTATTTAAAATAGCTTTTTTTGCATGTTCTTCGTTCATTCGTTCGTTTTTCAGTCCACTTGTCCTGGTGAGGGTCGCTGTGGCAGCATGTTGAGTAGGGCTGTTCAGACCTCCCTTTCCCTGGCGACAGACTCAAGCTCTTCCTGGGGAATTCTCAGGCGTTCACAGGCCAGCTGAGCGACATAGTCCTGCCAGTGTGTCCTGGGCCAGCACTGTAGTCTTCGCCCAGTGGGATGTGCCTGGTAGAGTTCCAGGGGGAGTCTATCGGGGGGCATACTTTATACCAGGTGCCCGAACCACCTCAACTGGCTTCTCTCGATCTGGACGAGCAGTGGCTCAACTCTTAAGTCTCTCCAGGATTATCGAACTCCTCACCCGATCACCGATAGTGAAGCCCGACAACCCTGCAGAGAAACCTCATTTTGGTCCCTTGTACCCGCGATCTTATCCTTTCATCATTACCCAAAGCTCATGATCATGGGTGAGGGTGGGAATTTAGATTGACCTATAAATCGAGAGCTTTGTTCGAGAACTCTGCTTCCGCTTCACTACCACGGAAAGGTAGTGCCTGCAACACTGTGGGTGCCGCACCGATCCGCCGGCTGATCTTCCGCTCCCACTTACCATCACTCGTGAAAGAGACCCCAAAGTGCTTAAACGCCTCCACAAAGGGCAATTGTTCCCC